AACAACATCGGCAAGGTAATCAGTGCAGTGAAAAATGAATAAGCGCGCACAAATCAACCAGAAGTAGCGCTAACTACTCATGAATCGGATTTCACACTACACCTAAGTTGGAAAAGTTATACAGAACATACTGTACATTGTGCCGTTTTTGTCTTAAGTACGTGTAAAACACAGTGCAAGGAATTATTCCACCGGACGTTGAGTAGGATACGGCTTGAATAAATGTTTATGAAAGATATGGGTTACACAAATAAATTAATATTTACCTCCATTACGGGCTATTTCAGGACTGGATGTGTTTGCCGTTTACTGATGCCCCGCTTTCGAAACTAGAATCTATAATGTATGTATAGGCAATGGGAATATAATGTCACCTGCAGTCGAACGTATCCAAAAAGCCTTTGATGGTATAGCACAGTTTCATACGGTTAGCTCCACTCCGATAAACCTGCGAACGTACTTATATGTGATAACAAATCTCAGCTGTCCTCCCCTAGCTAATGTGACGGCCCACAGTTTTCTCACGGTGCAAATCACTCGGCCACTACAGCTCATAAGGTAGGCCTAGTCCTGGAATCTCCACGTACCTTGTTTTCTACTAAGAAAACTAATTTGTATGTTATGATTACCACCGGTTGCAATTACTTGGTGGTAAAGTTTGCCTGAATCAATTTCGTTGGATGCACAGGAGAGTGACCGCAAAGGTTTGTGTCAATTTTAGTTAATTCTGTGTCCTCCTGGTCCATACGTGTTTCAGCAGTGCCATGACGACGAGCGATGCGGGCACTATTGAGACTGAGGAGAACATCTAAAGTATGGCTGTCTGGAATACATGGCGGGTCAAGAAGTCTGTTAATTCCGCGGAAACTCGTGCACGTGCTCAGTATGAAAAACTACATGTGATTTAGAGCAAATACTAATATGAGTAAAAAAATCTGGAACAAAATGATCCTAATACCTGAACACAAGTAATGTAGAGCTTCAAATTGCTTCTTAAGGTATCTCTAAAAGCAGTTCGGGTTGCACAATAACCAGCATGTCCTTGAAATCGTTGACAGAAATGGATAATAATACACGTTTTAGAAGCTTGTCCCGTTAGACTTATATTCCGATCGCTCGGACTGGCGACTTACTGCCCACATGTGGGATCTGTCTTGACCTATTTATTTGAGCAACTCATTCCGGAATGCGACAATTTCCCTGGTTATTGCGAAAAACCTTGTTAGTCCATTTTTTGTGATGGTTACACAAATGTTTTATGTTCTTTCTTATAGTCGCCATATTCGTTCCAAAACGACTTAACGAATCGTCGACCTCTTCATCTAAATACCCGGTTTCCTCCTAAATGTACACTCCTTATACTGACACGTTATTCAGGGTTAGGTCTTGCAGAAGCTTTATGCCGTTGCACTAGATCACCTTCAATTGGTGGAATGCAAAGTTTGCTGTTTGCTGATTCATGAAACTGTTGGCTAGGTTGTAGGAACTATCCATTTGTACTTCCAAGTTGCGTGACCACCTGTGGGTCAACGAAACGGCAGTCTTCCCATTGATCTTGAATCAGGGAATCTATGATGGACAGAAAAGTACTGCATGGCAGCCTTCAGAGTCAGTAACAACGATCATTTTTTAGCCCAACGAAAGGATTTCTGATTGACGAGGCGATAAACTTCAGCCGTTTCTACTATCTCACGAATGCATCAGGAACAACGAGATTTCTTATTCGAATAAGACGCTAATTCGCTCACTGCAAATTGTGTTTTGCAAGCCAACCGACTATAATGCCTGAGATTGTACTTTCTAGAAGGTCAGGAAAACTGAGGTCTAACACTGTCGACGGTAACCAGGTATCACTGTCTATCTGAGACTCTTGTGAAGGACGTAACTTCTGTGAACGTCTAGTCACGTCCGTCGAAAATTGAGGCATTGAGGGGTTTTTCTACTGGTCGTTCAGTGAATTCACAGGTGATCTTAATACCCCCATATATAAGTCATCTGAACCTGACGTCTGTGATGTAACAAGCTGTTTTCAAGTTGGAAAGTTGCAAAGGATTCATATGGAATATCTGTAGACCAACATGTTAGTTTATGCTTCTGCTGGCACTTTAAGTAATACCTTAAACTCTGTTGAAAAAAACATTCCTTGGTTGAACTTATTTAGCATTTGTCATTTGATGCATTACCTGCTGCCAACCGCGGAAAGATTTTAGAGTGAATACGATGAAAAAAACTTCCAGTCTTTTTAAGCCTCTCCTGTTAGCTCTAGAATACCGTTCATTAACTAGTCAAGAGCTGCTATCCCACCTTTCCTCGCCTTGCTTTGTCCCCTTGCTTGTGAACTTCGCCTGGCCTCTCTTCTCTGCCTGCGCTTTTTTAATCTTTGGACCCTAGACTCGAAACTAACAAACGTTCAATTGGTACAAACTTGATTATTCAAGAGGTTAGCTAAATTGACCGGTTTCTACGAATTTTTTGCCCACAATTCTCTGTTGAGAAATCTGGCTTTCATATTTAATTTTAGTTCACCGATCTTGTTGGACAACTTACCAGGCTTGTTCATTCATCTTTAGTGGAAAAGTTTGTAATTGGTTTCGAATCTTTCGTGGTTACTTTTTTCTCTGTATGAACATAGTTTCCTTACCTTGTACTTCAAAATTCTTGTACTCTTTAGGCTGCTACGGGTGTTTCGTATCCTTGCCATTAGACGGCTTTCGAAATGGGATGGTTGGGATTTTGCCTATGCATAATCTCAACTCACTTGCTATATAAGATATATCTGTTCAAGTGGTCTGTGTATGCGCCACCATTAGCGGCGATGAAGCTTATCGACAAAAGGTTCTACGCTATCCTTAGCTTCTCTCCGTCTTTCTTTCCTCATCAAGGTTTTCTTGGTTGGACAATTTTGCACATTAACACTGGGGGTAATGAAACAATCACTCCAGCAAGGTTTTGCAGACGAGACCCCGATAGGTAACGGTTGGACTGGTCTTCATGATTGGTTGACTGGTAAATTGTTTTTATAACGACACATCCCATCCTGTTCACCATTTCATGCAGTGTGTTTGAACGGGGGGTAAATTTGTCCTTCCCTCTGTGGGCATTGCCTTGCAAAGGGGTATCATATAATAAGGTATTCAAGCGTCGTTGATGATGTGTCAGATTCTCGAGCGTCAGGCAAAAAGGCGAATGTGTTGTATTATCATTCGTGTGATTTAATGTCTGAGAACATTTTTGAGATTAACTGTTTGTCACTCTAGACGTTCCACAGCATGCATTTTCTTATCGGAGCATTCGCCTGCCTAGATGATTACTCAACTTCTTGTATCCATTTGCATTTTTCTAATTGATGAAATTGATGCTTATCACTCTTCGTTGTGCGTGTAAGATTTCATGGACATCCAAATCACCTTTGGCCTGGTGTCATATCTACGTCTTACATTCCTCCCATGGTGGAAGAGTAAGATTGCATTTCTCTAGGTCTCGAAGCAACAGCTGTTTTGCCAAATTTCCTTTCTTCAGAGCTTTCGTTACTAATTCTTCGTCAAGATCCCGGTCAACGGTCACCTGAATTGTTAATTGTGCTGGCTGATGACAAATCACCCTAGAGTTCGCCTTCTGATTTTTTGCTCAAATATTTCTCCGATGCTTCTCCTTTTTATTTGCATCCCCACTCAGGCTACTACACTTTAGGTCCCAGCCTGCGAACTAGTCACTGGAAATTTCAATAAATACAAATGATACGCTAAAAATTAGAATAGCCGATACCAGTGACATATGATCTGGAGTTTTCTTTATCTAAATGAATAGTAATATTTTTTACGTTTCGTCGTTCTGCTCCTTCCATGGACCGTTTTGCTGATTTCAAAAGAAAACAGAGAAAATAATTCTTGCTCTGAAATAGTTTTTCATTAATTATTAAAAATAGTGCTGAGGCAGAAATCTTGCCATATTTAAGGTCAACTAACTGATAAGGGTTGATACATCCTAAGTCATTTCGCTGGGTTTTTGCATCTACCAAAGCAGAGGGAGACATATTGCTGGAAGGCTATGAGCCTGTTAGTCTTATCTAAGCTAACCTCAACTGTGAAAGAGACCTGCAGACTTCTCAGCTGACTAGCTTCTGTCATTAGAAGATGATACAAACGCGGTTACAGTCAACCTAAGTTCTCTGAGATATTTTCAGCTCCTTGGTGGGGCCAGTATGACTCCGTTTCAGGTGGCTCTGAACCTTACAGGAAATAACACGACTGATCAGGGTAGCGCCCATTCTGTCACTTCCTAGAAAAACAGTGTGGCTAATAATCGTCTCTCATTGGGCACCGTTGGTTCAGTATTTGACCAGCAAATTAAGGATCTAATTTGCAGATAATCAGAGAAACCAGGTTGACAATCTCGATCATGTCGGTTGACTGTGGCAAACGAAGATTTTTGGACACATTTAAGTAGCTGTCTCTCTGAGCAGCCCCAGGAAGAAAATCAGTTAAACGAACCGCTTCTTGGAAAACGGAACATTTCGGGCAGCGATGTACTACGGCACATTCAAAAGGTGTGCTCTTAATGTTTTCACTTTTTCGTAGCGTTGTAAGTGAGCTTATCGTATTTATTTTAACGTCAGCAGTGTTAGGGGAACCTGGAATCCTGCTTATGTTCCTCCCTGTCATTGAAGACTAAGTTATAACGCCTTTACTGCCTCGAGGAATTTCCCTTGTTACGGAGAACATTTAGCCAGACAACAAAGTTCTAACAGGGCTACCTTAGCACCGGTTCGGTTTCAAAAGCCGTGCACACATTAAACATCGTCGTACCAAAATAATTTGGTACCACTTACTGCCACTTTTGACTCCGGTGTTAGCAAGAATGCCCCGTAAAGTAGTACAAAAAACTCACGCTAACTGCGTTTGGCTTGAAGGGTACTTTATTTCCGATGAACAACTGACTAATGATGTTGCACGTTCAGTGGACCGTTTCATCAATACATCAATCCCAGGTTCCCATGCGGTAAAAAATTCACAATTTCACATGGTGTGCGTATTTTTGCAGAACGATCAAATTTACAGTAACGAAAAATGAAGAAGTAATGGTGCTTTACAGTACATCTGGCACATAAAAGCGTCGAATTTGTGGAGGGATAAATGCAGTTTAGTTACTCGAAATGTTTGGCTGGTTCTCCAGTAACAATAGGCGCTAATGAATGAATATTAAATAGTCGCTATTTGCGTCGGATACGCGCTTCCGTATATTTAATTTCCGGATAGAATACGGAAGGGTTATCTTTTTCTATCAAATCCTATTTAGGTTATCTCAAAATGGTCAAGATGTGGACCATGACTGGCGTTCATTTCTTGAAGCATGTAAATAGTGGCCACAAGTTTGAAAATTCACTGTACATCCCAAAAGGTTTCCGGTTCGACTGCTAGCGAAGTTGCAAAGTCCGTGAGACCGAGTTGGCAAAAAATGTTTTTGAGACCCCCCAAATATTGGTCCTGCCGATGCGCAGCTTCCCAAAGGTTCAACAGCGACTCAGTTGGATTAGCGAGATTGGCCAGATATGGTACATGGCTGAAAACGAGGAAATTTCTAAACGGTATACTCAATGACGGCAATAAAGCATCTAATTTAATTTTAGCGCCAAGAACTGACAAGCGCCTAATTTTTCACTGACTGAAAATTTCTGGCCAAACTTACTTGTGTACAACTACTTAAAACATTTGTAACGTGTGATGTGGACTCTTGCTAAAAAATCAATAATCTTGTTGATCTCCAACAAGAAAATAATTTGAATGTAGACGGCCATTTATAAAACTCGCGATTTCCAAAAACAACTTTTCAAAACTATTTTGTAGTTCAAAAAGTGGTCGGGAAATCAGCCAAGGATTGGGTTGTTTTAAAGGGAGTTAAAAGGTCACCCATAAATTTGATGTATAAACCGATTGGATTGCGTTCTCACCAACTGAGATTATACGATCAATTAATTAGGTATTTAGGAGTGGGCAGCGTTTTTATACGTCTGTTGAACATCTAGACTGATCTTAGCTTATTGTTATGGTTGTGGTGAGCTATCCCACCAATTTGTCCATAGACCCGTCCCCGGATCGAATGGTATTTGACTGACCTTTGCACGCTGCTTCATTTGTTCCACTTTGACTATATCCCCTTGTCTTGGAAGCTACCCTCATTTTTCACGCCAGGCTGATGGTCAGCCCTAGCCAAAAACCCACAGTAAGTTGATGTTGCTTCGCTAGCAGTAATACATAGATAGAGTCAGCTAGTAGATGTGCGTAGAATGGGTACAAATATATAGTCTGTACAAGGTAAGTAGACTTCTGCGAACATTGTCCCAAAGGTTTCTCTCACCTACCCCACATTTTTACATTTCAGAGTCTCCACGTGTTCCAAATTTGAGTTTTTTTCCCTCCGATTTTCATATATGAAGATCAACTTTAACTGAAGTGTTGTATTTTGTTCCATACTAAAATCTTTCGGTAATAATTTTTTCATGTCCGTGAGGCTACTCTGGTGCATAGTGGTGTCCATTCGGCACATTTTGATACACTTGAAGCACTTGTTGAGACATGAAGATACAATCCATGAGGAAATAAGCGTTCAGTCATTTCCGGTAATCGCTAAGAAAAACGCCACTCACACCAGCAGACATATTCTCAGAACAAATGTGGGGCAGGTTTGGTTTGAATCTGACGTGACATAAGGCAGTTATTCGTCATTATGCTGTCATGGCGGACATTTGAGCACATTTTTCAGGAATCAGACTATTTGTTTTGATCTACCCAGCTTTGCTTGCGCAAAGGTAATTGTTTTAAGATAACTGTTTGCCATGACTATTTACTTCAAAACGTTTATTCCTTTATTTACTGTTCCAACACCAACTGCCCCTAGTTCAAAGGAAGGGTTGCCCCACTTTACCAAGCTTATAGGTGGCAAGGTCATAGTACGCAAAATGAAGACTCTATTCACGCAGATAAGCTTTGCGTCGTCTTAGATTTTTATCGTGGCATTTACTTTTAGAAGCAACTGGGAGGGTTGATTCGCGTCCGTGATACACCAAAATGTTTTGCTTAATCTTATCAGGATCAAAAATGAGACGGTGACGTCTTTCAAGGTCAAAATTAAACGATTTCAAACCTAGGGTATGTTTATAGCCGTATAAATAGCATCAGACATTAGGATTTCTTGGAGAGAAAAATGTGTCTTTTTTTGACATAGTGAACTGTAGACGGATATAATACTGGTTTGTGATGCTGGAAAATTTTTGTACTTCAGGCCGAATTGTTGGCTATTGTTCATTTGGGTGGGCTAAGCAATTCGCCTGCAAACATGCCTTCAACAAACGCGGCATATTATGAATGCGTGGCAAGGTGATGGTTCGTCGTAGTACGTTGAATTGCAAGTTCTGAGCAGTACTGTGATTTCGTCTGTGCATGTACTTACATAAGACTTCTTGATACCATGGAAAGATTTTTCAGTGACTTCGTAGACACGAGCGCCCTCACTGTTTGTAACGGCTTGATGACTTTCAAAGTGTTTAATAACAGAACAGAATGGAAATTGCCGAATAACTTAGCTTTGAAGCAAGTAGCCTTGACATAGGCAACATTTCACGCTTATCTAACTTTCTCTAACAAGTTCTAATGATAACGTCGCGTCTGAAGAGGAGTAAAACTTGACCGGATCATTTGAAATCGTACTTGTAGGAACAAAAATTCCAGAAAAGCGGAAGTGAACCGATTTGTGGGTGTGTTGTACACATGCACCAATGCCTTCTTGAAACGTATTTTCTAATGCTTTATTACATATCCCAGTTGTAGTAATCTTCCTAGGAATTCAGCTTTATTTGAAGAACAATCTGCCAGACCGTGTAATCCTGTTACTGTCGATTATGAAATGCCCTTGGGCTTCAGATTCTTTAGAAATTTCTTGGTTATACATCAATTTGGTATACGTTGTCTCTTTATTTTTTTACTTAGATATGCCATGTTGCTGTGTCACTTCCTGCAATCTACGTCCGACTGCGATTTCACTGGTGATTTATTGGATGGGTGGCATTGGGTTCACTATCAGGAATGTGTACATAAAGTTTTGCAGGTCTGATCCATTTTCCATTTACAAGTTCTTGCACCAGCGGTATTCGATTATCTTTTTCTCATCTGACTGTGAACGTGACGTCTTTGAGTGTGACTATTAGCCGTTCATATGCGCCATGCAAGTAGTATGTCCCGTATCTGCGGTAATCCGGTTGTACCATTTCCTCTTGTTATTCCATCACTCTTTCAATCGTGAGCAAGTTAACTGGTGGTTGCCTTGGCCCTCTTCTCATGTTCCTTCAATCTCAGATGGGCCTCTATACACAAACGCCCTAAATCGCGAATATTCTTTTCTGGTTCTTTATTTTTACTGCACCAAAATCGGCCTGAATTAAGCTTGTCTTGGCTTTTACGGATAGACTGTGACTGAACAGACCGGTTAAAAAAATAAGGTGATTATTCTTTCTTGCTATTGCGCAGTTTATTCACTGGAGGATTCAGCATTGTTTCTGAGAAGGCCCTGAACTTGCATTAAGATTTCTTAATTTTTACAATAAATCCGCCATTAAAATTTCCACCATCAGTTAAAGAATCGGAGAAATTAAATGCAACTTGAAAATATGTAGAATAGTCTGAGGTTTGGAGCACCCATTATCATTTTCTCATTACTCTTGGTGGTGAGTTTTCTTGTGTGATGCATGCAGTTTTCGATTTAACCAGCTAATGCCTGGGATGTAAATTACCTCAAATATAATAGGAAGGTTACCGTAACTACCATCGGTAAGTAGAATTCAGCACAAACAAACGTTATACAAACACGTACACATAACAACCAGATACACCCACATACCACGCACGACCAGTAAAGAAATATCCGTAACCCAATTACTCATTTCAATGAAATCAGCATAACAACGGTATTCCGTTGATTCGAATTTACTTGACATCTTGCGTGGAGCCGAAGTTTCGACGAATGTAGCTCACAAGCGCAAAGAAGCAAACCGTTGTATTTATGTAAGCTATGCGGCAAAATAAACTCGGTCTCCAGCCACTGTCAGTCATTGAAAATTGTACTCGAACCACAAAAATAAGGTTAAAAAATCTTCCTACACAGTCCGCTGAACAACATCATGAGTAATATGTTGCACAACTTTATTTCCAACAAAGAATGATGTTTAGATCCAAGAAACAGTAAAGTGGTATGCAGTCTGCTTATAAACATGGGCAATTCATAGAATAGCTGAGGTGAGTTAATGATTTTCTAAAACACCTAAATAAGGAAACCCAAAAGGCTGGCTGAGTGTACGGCAGTGGCCTAAATAGACTATAAAAGATAGACTGGTTAGTTACACATCCGATAAGAGTGAACATTTTGTATAAAGTTTGAATTTGATCAGTTTGGAATGAAACACCTGTTATGGGTACGTGCGAAAACAAACGGATGTCGACATATATATGAACATACCTGCAATCTAACTAGTCCATATTCAGCAGGATGATGACAGATTAGTCACGTGAGGACTACTGTTTTATGTGAACAGACGTGATAAATAATACTAGAATATAAAATGCCAACTTTCAAGCGTATGTACCTGTGCCTGGGCGTTTCCTCAAGGCGCCTGGTTACGCTGGATTGGCAGGCATATTGATGACACTCAGACAGGCGGACGTGATGGAGAATGAACGTTAAATACCAGGTCACTCATAACGGAACTTAAAGTACCAGGGGCAACTTGTGATCGAGTATGAAAGTACTGGATATCTCTGGCTGTCCAAAGATAAAATATTTCCCCTAGGACTTAAGCAAGTGAGTATTAAGATCGTGTAAACAGAATTTGGAATTCGTGGACTTGAATACGGACCCTTCATAAAAGAATATACCAGTCGCTTTTCTCTATCTCATATCCACCAAGATTTTGGAATCTATCCAGGATATAAACAATGCGTCTGTAGTAGTAATTTTGAAGGCCACTAATCTATACCTTGTTTTTTGTGTTCTTAAATCATCGATTACCAAGCGTATTTCTGAAACAAGTGAACTGGCTGAACTGCTCATGCCTTTGGTATATATCTAATCAATCGAAACTCGGAAACATTGACGTCCCTTGAAGCAATACTGATAAGAAAACTGCAGCAAAAACTGCGCGCACATCAGTCAACGATTTAAGCATCCAGTACCCCCGACGTTAACCTCAACCATGCCCTTCCTCAGCGCTATGTTTCAGTTGATCCAGTCAATTCGTTGTCACCTTCACTTATTAATATTTTCATCCGCGACTGATAAGGTTTTAAAATGCCAAAGCTTCGTAACCTATAACACCTATAACTATTCCTAATTTGGTTGATCCTTTGTTGGCTATTGGCTTCAGTGATGCATAGGTTATTACAATGTACTGGAAAGCAGAGAAGGAATATACACCTGCTCCACCCTTGCTGAGAACCAACGGTGGGTCTCTCGCGGAACCCAAGAAAGTTTCTAACCAGGGACCTCCCTGCTGGTAGTTTAAACGCTCAAGTGTTCAGCAGCAAGCAGTTGGTCAGCAGTATGACTAATAAGCCATATCATCACTTTAATTACACATTCGACTGGTACCGATTTATCTTCAAGTGATCAACGTTCACTGTTTCAGAATACAACGAACGATCCGCTCAGCAAAGACGGTACAGTTATCTATCTTAACCTTTATGCCTGCACTGTTAATCTTTCTGGGAAATCAGAACCATTAAGTGCAGCGTACCTTTCGAGTTTCATCCCCTTCGCCAGATCTTGCCAGTTATTTTGCATGTTCATAAAGTCGCAGATAATTTCTCTTGTGCTGTCTTTTATGCTGAAAAACAAACAAAACTAAAGTGAAATTACTTACGCAGCTCTAAAATCCTGAAATTTGTGACGTAACAAAAAGATGATATTCTTTCTTAATTATCCACTGTACTATTATCGTTTGCACACAGATTTTAATGACATTTATCCTATTACTTATCTCCATACAAGCATACGGGAATCAGACTACTACGGCATCATCGGTTTTCATTGTTTTTCTTGGTGCCAACTCAACCGAATTTCAACATACTGTCTTGTTCAGTATATTTTTCAAACGAGTGTGCTGCAGAAAAACAACCTTGTGTCTACCGGTTTTGGGCTGCCGAAGACATTTTAACAACCTTATACCTAGTATATTGTCAAATTGAATTATCTTGTTCTACAAACGGAATATTGTTTCCCAGGCAGAAAGCTTCTGATAGGATAGCAAAAGTGGACATTTTTCGAAACATCTCTCGTTTGATGTCAAAGTGAGTAATCTGATCTGGTTACCAAGGCTGGAGAGATATTTTCATTCATATATTAAGCACGAGTGGTAACTACAGTCTTGGATCCCCCGATTTAGTGTGCATATCTACGTGTGATTCATTCCACACCATCCCGTATCTGCGGGGACAATAATTCAATGTTTCTATCTTGTGTTCCTTCCAACAAATCCTGTTTGCCTAATGGGTCACTAGGATTCAGTTTAGTCTCGATTTTCATAGTGTAGAAGAGCATTATACTAGTAGATTGAGACCTATTCCATATATCACATTAGTTGTTTATTATCGCTATGTTCTATTCCTCTATCCTGCATTGTGAAGCAAGCCGTACGGGATAAGCTAATAAGACGGCCTCTAATCAGTCAGCTCTACTCAAGATTATTTACTGTGTTTGAAGAAATTGGACGGTACCTAAGATCAACTAAATGACAACAGATGACAACAAAAAAAGAAACCCCCCTGATTACACGTTCATGAGCAATCCCAAGTTAAACCAGTAAGTGAAACCAAATTCGTATAAGCCATAAAAAGCTTGGAAAAGCTTACCGGAAGAATGTTTTTTTGTTGTTTGGGATAGCCACTGGAACAGTATTTGTATTTGAGGTAACATTCTGTCCAACAAATGTGAGTATGAAACGTAAGAAACAATTAACAATTTGACAATTCGTGAACCACGATTTCTAAATGTATAACATTGCATTTTTATCACCTAATGTGGAGGGTATAGCAGTGGTTTTTTTCAAATAACCGATGAAAGCTTCCCTTAGCTACTTCAAATTAAAACGCAAAGCTGCATCTAATTCAAATAACATGTCTGATTTAAGCGGAACGATTTTTATTCAACCGTAGATGAAAGAGGTCAAATATGAATTTCAGTGATGGTTCTAAAAGTTGATAAAAATGGTTTGAGCCCACTTTAATTCAAAAGCCAACACGGCCAAATTTATAGACGTTCATGTAAATGATATGCGACCCCATAGTGTCTTCAAGCTTCACGCTTTCGTCATGTAAGCATATAAGCTCAAAAAGACCCCAATACACTTCTTTGTCCCTTTATGCTCTACTTTTCAATATCTTATTCTCCTGGGTAAGAAGTCGCCGACCTTAACACTAATGTCAGAAGCGATTTCCACTTGCAGTATAAATTAAATAGTTAGCGTGCATGTGAAGCGCATAGCCAAATGCCAGATTGGTTCAATGAACATGCTCGGACCAAGTTTTTCTTGCACCTATTCAGTGGTACTATTTTCTTGTCGGGGTGTCAGAATCTGACGAAGAGGCATCGGAAATTTGCACACGCCCGATTGGTGTTGTTTTACATTGACAAACTAAATCAGAAATATAATTTTTCTCCAACGCGGCGTAAAAATATGGGAGACCTATCGGTGTCTGTGGTAAATGAAACATTGGTTCGGAACAAGATGAAGTCTACGTTTATATGTAAACTTGTCCCATGCTGTAGTATGAGTACACTGAATATATTTGAATAAGTCATTGGCTGAGTAGAGACAATATTACAAGAGACTCTAACCAAAATGAACCAAGCTCGTATGCAACCCCACGGTTGCATATTAGCATTCTTTGCCATATACTAGTTGTCTTGTTATAAAACCCCTGGCAACCACCTAGGATTACCAGTATGATATTGACCATGAGGTACCTCATCCAACCTCCGAACCAAGGTATTTCGCCATGCACATAGGCTGTAAACATTAAAGTCGCGGTCCACTATGCATCTAATTTAACTGAGTGTTAATGTTGGCAAACTCCAGAATCAACTCAAGTCAAAGCGATTACCAATTCCTGCATTTACATCGGGAAAAACTTGTCACTGTCTTCTTTGTTGTGGGGTTCATCAAATCAAATGCGGTCACTTTGCTGCACTTTCCAAAATCTCACAAACGACGCCTTTATGGGTACAGAAATTTTCGTTTGTAACGAATCTCCTGTCACTGTCTTCTTTGTTGTGGGGTTCATCAAATCAAATGCGGTCACTTTGCTGCACTTTCCAAAATCTCACAAACGACGCCTTTATGGGTACAGAAATTTTCGTTTGTATGCGGACGAATCTCCGTCTTTACCCTCTTTTGTTCATCATAGAGAGAGGCACAAAAATAAGTTGTGTATGTGTGTGGGGTACATGTGGTCAGTTCTTTTAGAACACTAGGCTTTCACGGTGAGAAACCGTTGGATGAACATTTGCAGAGTGTTGGCTACGTATTTTGCGTTCAGTCTATAAAAGGGTTATGGTGATACCCGTTTTGCCGAAAAACTACTCTCGGCGTCTGACAAACAATGAAAGATAAAGGGAAAATGTGTTGTGGCAAAGACCCACTGCCATAATTATATAACCGTAAGCGTTTACTCGTCTTTATTTGTGAAGCAGATACACAATAACATCTTGATTAATTTGCTGAAATGATATCGGAATTGAAAATGAGTGTACCTTAAATTTTACACTGGTTAATTTATCTTTAGTGGTCTACTGTTTAAACATAGTTTTGGAATTTCTCCGCAGAATTTTGTTTTTTTTCTGCTCTTAACCAGTCGCTTTCTACATTTTATGAAGCTCGCAGAGAACATCTACCAGCGTTTATCTGCTTGTCCTGCGGAAAAGGTAGGACAAACGAGACAAGCCCGGAAAACATTGAACGGAAATGGCCAAGATGATTGACAAGCTAATCAGTTACAGAGAACCCACCTGGCGTGATATAAACCAGCGTGGGATAAACCCTAATTTTCAGAAACGTTGAGCAGAAAGGACGACCTAAATAAGTGTAGCATTTTCATTTTATTTAGTGGCCAAATTTACAAGCAGTTTTGTTGCTAATTTGCTAGGAGGCTGAGGAACACTTTAGGTCACCCATTCATTGGTGCAAAACTTTCTAGCCAAAAACTGTAATATCCGTGAAACAAATAATCAGTGTTTTGTAACTCACATCTATGCAGTCGCTTGAAATATGCAATACTTTTCGTTGTTCCCAGTTCATTCCTTGGAAAGCAATTATTCTGCAAGAAACTGAGTTCTGCGTGTGGTCAATGTGCTCTAGCGTAAAGGCACAATGTAACGTGGGCAGTTGTGTTCCACCCCAGATATGACGGAAAGGAACCTCCTATGGAAAAGTAATCACCAATAAAATCGCGTAAAATTTTTAGTTTGGCATAAATATTTCTGTTTTTAATGAAATGCAGATTTGTCACATAACCTTATCCCGGAAGAGCAGAGGAAGTAATAATTTTTCGAGAGAATGCAACATCTGCAATGTTCAGCAGTTTCAATCGATTCTTTTGGGTGAACGCCAGCAGGCTTCAAGAACAAATGTTATTATTCAAAATATCGCTTTGCTTGTGTGGATACTTCACCGTTCATCTTCGTCTTCTATTTTTTTTATTTCAGTCGCAAATAATTGTGAATAAATGCAAAGAAATACGCACGCACTTCACATTTTGTCTAAAACTAAATTAACGTGTTACTTTGGTTGTTAATTAGGTTTAATTCAACAGAGGCTCTTCACCTAATACGAAAACGTTTCTGGGGCCAACTGACTTTGTTAGTATGGACTCGGAGTTTGAGACGGAATCGCCATTGTAGGCAAAAACGTCACGCGTTTTAAATTCTGTCTCCAAACTAATGTGTTTTTATGATCCTTCTCAGCGTTTTTCTAGTTTCGTATGCCTTTCTGTATCTTACAGGCGAGTGGTAAATACAAAATAATCGAGCGCATTGAATTTGAAAATGGTGGGGTAGAAATACTTTTTCCTAGTTCTTACAATCAGTTAAGGCATTTTTAAGGCTGCCAGACAAGTTTTGTACGAAATGCTACCTAAAATATGGACACACATTTGTAGCAAAATCATCACAACGTATTAGGCAAGCCACATGAATACCACCAAGGCACCATTCCCATTTGAACGCTTATCCACCCTCATCAGCCTCTCAGAGCAGCCCACACCAGATGGTAAGTTTGAACTTGTACCACAATGGCCTCATCATATATATATATATAAGCTTAAACCCTGCCTCACTGGTACACATAATACGGGTTTATGCAAATCTTTAAAGAAAAAACAACATGTGGTGGAATAAGACTTTTCGGTTGTCGTGCGAAACCCTTTTTGAATATTTTTACAATCTTTTTTAAGCCACCTAGCATTTTTTGTCTGAGGCCGACCATTGAGGCCAAAATCCTTCCTCCAGTTGGCCAATTACATCACTAATTCGAATGCAACTCCGGGATCGCTTCGTTTAGCAGGAGACGCATTCGAATCATTGCTAACTAGGACCGATTTTTTAGTACCTTAGATCAGAACCCTTCGTCAAATAAGGTGTTTTCCAGTGGTTACAAGTTTCTCTGTCCTAGGTGGCCTGAAAGCTGTATACTTTAACAACAAATGGTTATAAACACCGTCTCGAATGTTAACACAGCCATCTGAACAATAAGGGTATATTTCCGTGCCCTCACATTTCAACTTGACCGTAAGAAAGACGTAGTATGTCACCAAATGCGAGGTATAAACATGTATCTTATTTATTGCACTTGACACGCGAGCTTGGATTCTTTATATCATATAACAAAGAATATTTGTATCTAAATTTTTTGACTACCTGAGTATTCATATGTAATCTACTTCGCCAGCCTTTGGATACATCTTCGATACTGAAGCACATCCCTTGGCCCGTATCGTAAAATGGCAGGGGATCTGTTGTGTCAAGAACATAACCATCCAGTCGGAGCTCTGTTGCTTTCACATGCTCCAGAATATCCTGTATGTCAGGCAAAATATAAACGCGAATATTGTAGTCCATAGTTGGGGTAGGTCGGGCTGAATAGGCGGTCAAACGCAGCATTTTCTTGGCCGGCCCGTCAGTCCTTATATTGGCGGGCCAAACTGGCAGTAATTCCAACTTCTGTTGTTCACACTTTGGCCTCAGACTTTCACCAATCAAACAGTAGCGTTGTGGCCGTTGAGTGAGTAGATGCACCTCTGAAGTGTTAATGTGACAGGTTATTCCAGGTTGAGATTTGATAATTTCGTATTCGTCCTTTTGCGATACTACTGCGCACACTTCCTGAAATTTGGAGCAGCAAAAGGCTTAGCTCAATTAAGCGGTATTTAAAATGTTCATGGGTATACAGTTATACAGATGTTGTATAAAAACATCTGAAGAATAATTCGTACATACCATGGATGGTAGACTGCTAGAAAAAAGGTGTCTTTCACGATTTTCAAGAACCGGAACTGAGTAGCACAGCTTTGCTTGCATCAAAGACTCAGGCCACAATAAGAGCTTTAATCTCCCTCTATGTACCGCTACGTTTGTGCACTGGGGACGTGACAACTGAAACAAATATTACTGGAACAAAATTGGCAGTTTTATTCTGTTTAGTATAACTGCTTTTGGTTATCACTGTTTACTATCCTCAGTGCGGACGTTAAACTAGATTTTTATTCAAACATCTTTCTGCCGTCCGTTTAGTACTATTCGCAATTATTACTATATAGGTGATAGCGTTTTAATCATCCACACCAACCTCCTAAATACTCTTTTCCATGGGAGGGAGTTTACAGTTCTTGTTTACTATTTCAAAGCCTCCTGCAGTCCTCACAATTTCACAGTGCATTACAACAATTTGATACAAAACAGAAAAGGCTGGTGAGATATTCATTTGGACGTTCCGGTAACGAAAAATCGAAGAAAAAAGGAAGTTAATGCTGTATTTCCATTATCAGAAAATGAAGTTCGGTTGCATAGTGAATTTTAGCAAATAAGTTATTGTTTGTATTTTCTCTGCCACCAAATCTAAAGTACGTTTAACCTTCAAGTACACATACTATCAAAGTGATGCAAAAATGCTGTCAATACTCGTCTAGTTTCCTATGCCTGTTTCCTGGAAAAACGAAACTTTATAATCATGTCAAAAGCTCAAGCTTTATGGATATTGAATGATTCATTCTAAGTATCGTAAAAAACATGCAGTGCCTTTACCAGGCAAATGGCACATCGCTCGCTGCTATTATCTAGGTACTCACATTTGGGCGGCCTATATAAACCAATCCTGGTCGTCCCATCAATCGGTCGAGCAAGTGCATATTATTCCTAATAACTCACAAATGTTCACCAATGAAGGACACTGTTCCTGATAACGAAATTTTACGTTAGATATCATTGCTCGTGTGTGTGGTCAACCCTGTAAAGGCAACTCATTCCACCTAAATTCCGGTGCCTTCTACACGTACTCATTTCAAGAACATAAATGGTGCATTTGTACGTGAGATAGATACACCCGATCATTCCAAACCATGTAATAGTTGACTGGTTCAATTAATACCTGACAAGTGTGGTGGAAATACGTCAGAGCTAATTATCTGGACTGCAAACTTTCCGTTGCTATATGGGATCCTTCATTACGCACAACAACACACACTGTGCTTTAGGGTCATCTCATCCGCTGGAATCGCCTTAATGAGACAAGAAAACATGGTATGTTACAACAATCAGCCATGACTACCGTCACCTGAGATTGCTGCACGCCTAAAACAAAAGTATAGGATTCTGACTGAGCACATTTTTCCAAAAATATAACTTCGAAAACGAAGGCGGCAAATGAAGCCGCCTGATGTCCGGGTTCAAATTTATGGTTTTCAAATCCCACATTATTAGGTCACGGCCTCCTAATTACGCAGCAGCTAATACGTGGATTGAGTGGGCTTTATAGCTTCAATGTGATTTGCGTGGGTTTGGGTTTGATTTCGAATTTTTCCAGGTTTCAGATGTAGTTTGCGCAGTGCACAAGTAATAATCCGGGAAAATTAGGACAGCTACATCAGCAGTGTCAGGAATGTGTGCAAAACATCTTTTCTACTTCAACAGTATTTAATCCCTTACACCTATCAGCGAGTGGACATCAATTCGCGGTTAATATAAACGAAATCCATGATGAATAAACGCCAGGGAAACATAAGAAAGGTCGACAACTAAAATCATGCGTCCCTGGACACAGAATTCACGAAACACTTGGGAATTTAACCTTGATTCCGTTTCAGCGTGATCTACGCTGTCGTTTAGGATATTCCGCCAAACCATATCCTTTCAGACAGGTTGATCGCCGCGGACGAAGATCTCGTGACAAAATGACGGTCATTCATTTCCTTCAGGATCGCATAAATTATGACAAAGAATAAAACTACCCACTATCTTTTCCTCACAAACCTAACACTCATGAGCACCATTACGTGGCGGATTTTTTGGGTTCCAGTCCTGAGGTATTATCTTGGAGATTGGACCAAACTTTTACAACCAAGACATCCGCAGGAGTATCAGCTATAACAAATATACGAATCATTCTCCCTGAACAGCCTGGGCTACTGTGGACGTTTCGGTGTTCCGTAAATTGGTGCAAAATGTTTGTGTTTTCCCACTGATTCCCTTCAGACTTCGCTGGCTTAGAGAATGAGAGGATCATATGCCCAAGCCGGTTAATTTAATATTGCAGTGGTATGTTTATAAAACAGTAAAATCTAGACCTGGGGGTCGAAAGAACCACGGTAAATTCTTACCTTCCAACAAGTCAGTATGGATGAGCGTGTTACGCTATCGTGTCCTTGTTCATATTCCTGGAACAAAGAGTTACAATCACAAATCTTTGGCTTGGTTCCCTTGCCGTCTTCACATTTGGGGATTGTTAGCGCGGACTGTACACCTGTGGCAACAACACGGAGATACCACGGGCCTTCATCTAGAGCAGCACAATGGGGAAAACTGAGAACAACCTCCTGATGCGGGTGCATTGATATGGGACCAAACTGAACAACGGGACTGAGAAGAGTCTGATGATCTACAAATTAAAAGAAAAATTTTGTCATCACCAAAATTAGTGAGGTGGTGGTACATGGCTGAGCTGGAATTGAACATCCGTCAGCTGCAGCTTAAATGTATCAGACATTTTAGACAAACGATCATGTTTTCAGGCTACAAAGTACAGTTTATCTGTAATCTTGGAAATTAAGCGAAGTGGATAGATATTGTCTCATTAGTATTTTTATTGAAGATTGACATTTTTTCTGATTTTTTATTAAGTAGCTAAAGGAATAACGAAAACACTAAAACGAAGATATTCCTCTACGCTTTTCGCCTATTATTTGGTTCATCATCGTTGTTCGGTCGATCTTACTTGCAGTAGCAATGAAACACTTTAGCAGATTGAACCAATATCCATTACTTCCGACATTTGAAATAACAAACGTAACTTCTCCTTTGGCTTATTTCGGCAAGATAACAGTCGAACACCCTGCCATCGAGTGCAAACTGTGTTACGAAAACCTTCAAAACCACTGACAACGCATATAACTTCCCAATCTTATAATGCGACTAAGTCGGTTTTGATAGGCGAATATCGGTCTGCATTATTTGCGCAAAAGATTTTGACTCGGTTTGTGTTTTCTGTAACATTCTATATAATGAAATGTTGACTGTAATTCCCTTTGTATCTTCCATCAAGTGGAGCGCAATTCTTATTTTTCTGTTGTCAACTGTAAATGGTAAAACAAATGTTGACATGTTGAAGCATATCTCTTTACACTGCCCTGCACAAAACGGTTAAAGTAGACTTAGCGGTGTAAGCGCGGTCATCCATCAAAAAATGTAAACCCCGCGAAATGCAAGCAACAATAATAAGCATACTTTACTGAAAAAACCAGACTGAAAGAATTTGAATTGTTGTTGACAGGGGCAGGTTACAACCCCGCTAGGAAGATTCTCAACTGGGGTCACCAGTGTTGAAGGGTCCTTTTTGAACAATCACACAAGCAGATACGAAAGTATTTCCATTGGACTTCGGATAATAACTCAAACAAAAGTTAATGCCACTGACTTTATTTTGCGCACCAGCTTCGAGCAGCAGCATGTATGAAACCAATGCGACTGCCCTATTATCTACAGATCTCTCTTGTAACAGCCGTTGGTTTGGAATGATCACCCAAAGTGTACGTATGACACATGATTGGGTCAAAACCGCTGCATTCTTTGACCACAAATTCGTAATTCAACTAAAATCTATTTATGACTTGACATCTAACCTAGAGACTTTTTTCCATCACACGGTTGGGCTGCGGTAGCCGATCGATTTGTTCATTAGGACTTCTAAAGGAGATGGATTGAATATTAGGCTTGAAGTACCGTGACAGTATCTAGTATACAGTCTAGAAGAACGGGTTGCAAAATGAAAGCGAAAGATGCACTAATAACGTTTCACGAAATGCTTTACAGGGAGTTGTGCTAATATATATATATATATACA